TGGCATGTGGTGCTGGGGGATTGAACCGCGGTCCCTGATGCTTTTGCTAAGCTTGTTCCAAGTAGGTGCTTTAGACCACTGAGCCATCTCTCCAGCCCCCCCATTGCTAGAATATTGAGGGGAAAAAGTCCATCTAGAAAAATAGTCATCATGTTAGTGATGGGTGACAGTCTCATAGGAAGTGCATCATGGCATTATAGTACCTTCTTTGCTCCACAGATCAACAAGTTGCTCGGATGGAAAAACTAGCTGGTTTGGTAGAAGAGCTGGAGGCTGATGAGTGGCGATTTAAACCCATCGAACAGCTGCTGGGGTTCACACCCTCTGCAAGATGATGTCACCCGATGGTCACTGCTGGGACACAGCCAGAGCAGAGCTGACGAGGCAGCCAGAGATTCCCAGTTGCATTGCTGAACTGCTGATTTACCTCCATACTTGGACTCTGTATCTGTCCACAGGCAACAAATACTTAAATGTGTGATTTTGCAGAGTTTTTATTTCTCTGAAGAAGTATTGGGCATCATATTAAGATAGTTGGTGTTACAAAATTAGGTAATTTAGATTTAAAAGATATTTATTGGGCAAGGTATGTAACTCAGTAATAGAGTGCTTGCTGGGCATGCTTTAAGGCTCTGGGTTCAATGTCTTGCACCATTAAAAAAAAAATTGTGGGGGCCAGGGAGATGGCTCAGTGGAATAAGCGCTTCCCTGGCAAGCGCAAAGGCCTGAGTTCAATCCCCGGTTCCGCAAAAAAAAAAAAAAAAAAAAAATTGTGTGTGCATGTGTGTCTTTTGAGACAAGGTTCACTTTATAGTTCAGGCTGGCCTTGAACTCACTGCAATTCTGCCTCAGCTTCCAGAGTGCTGGGATTGCACACATGCAGCACCACAGCCAGCCAAAACAAATTCACTTACAGTTTTTACAAGCTAAGTAGGATACCTGGCACCAGGACTGACTGGCCGGTTGGGCTGTGTTCTGTTATTTTTACAGTGCCTGGGAATTTTCACCAGTCAAGTCCAAGGTCAGGATCTATAGTTACACATTTTTGACCTAACATTTCTTTTTACACACAAACATGATTTCAACTCAGAACCTGTCCAAATGAAGAATTTTAAAATGTTTATTTTGTTCCCCATTTTTAGATATCTAATTCTATAGATTCTTTTTCTAACCTCTTCAAGTACTGCCAAATGCTGGCAAAAAAACCCCTGCATTTTGAACAATGTATGTTGCAACAGCTGTAAAATAAAGCAGTGAGCAAAATCCTTTTATACAGAATTCCAAGGTTCAGTTCCTTGGTGGACTCAGCAATTCTGTAGCAAATAAATCCTTTCAAAGACCTCCAAATTGGTGTCTTCATTCGTTTAGAGTCTGAAAGACTTGGGATAGGGAAAAGATGTCAAATTATTTTCTGTAAGGCCGACCAAATAGCTCAGCAGATTAAAGTGCCTACCTAGGCAGATGCAGTGGCCGGGGTTTGATTCCTGGTGTGCTGTGTCGGCCCCGCCCCTGGGGCGCACTGAAACTAATTGAGAGTGGGTGTCCTGGCACGCACTTTTAATCCCAGCTGTTTGGGAGGCTCAACACAGGCAGATCACTACAAGTCCGATCTACATAGACCCTGAGACCCTGTAGACCCTTACTATAATATACAAAAAATACAAAACAAACAAAAAAATCCCCGTGGAGCCGGCGAGGTAGTTCAGTGGAATAAGCACTTGCTTGGCAAGCGCAAGGACCTGAGTTCAATCCCCAGTTCCACCAAAAAAAAAAAAAA